TGTCACCTCTGAAGATGGACTGCGAACTGAGCGGCATACATCTCTTGAACTATGATGTAATATGGGTTCATTATTGGACCGCTGCACCACACAGGGTCAAAGTTGAATACCATGTAAATTTTGTGACAGTGTAAACAAAACTATTTTATTTTCTTCCTGGACTTCTGCACCTCCCAGAGTCATGGATGTGTGAATATTATTCTTGGATTGCAAGTTTTTATTATTTGACCTTGACCTCTGTATCTCCAGGGGTCAAGGTCACCTGATATGTTGATGTACTGAAATGTTTGTTGACCTTGGCCTCTGCATCTCCCAGGGTCAAGGTCACCAGATATGTTGAGGTTGTACTGAAATGTTGTTGTTGAAATGAAATGTTGTTGAACTGAAATGTTGTTGTTGAACTGAAATGTTGTTGTTGTTGCTGGGCCTACCCGTTGCTTTGGAGGCCCGAAATAATATGTTGTTATTTTATTCAGCCGTGCCCAAAAGCGCCAAATAAATAAAAAAACCCATAAATAAAAGTTGTCTTTGTTTTATTGCGTCTGTCCAAGATAAGGTACGTTAAAACAAGTTCCTGTAGTACAATTATCTACAGATTGTTGCTAATAATCGTTATCAGAACAAACACTTTGGCATACATGTGAAGACGTTACTCCTCTATATAACACAAAAGGTAAATTACCAATGTTTAATTATGTTCTGGCTTGTACATGTATTTCGATCTTATGAAATGAATTGATAAAAGTAATATTTATATTTTGTTCCTAGATGATCAAATTATTGGTTTTGCTGGTGGTGTTTACGGAAATCTATGGACCTGGTAGGACTGGTTCAAGACCTTGAACAAAATCATATGAATTAATAAGTACACAAGATAAGCGTGTTTGGCGTGTAATCTGCAGGAAACTTTATGTGTATTGTTTATTTGTTTGTTTGCATGTTGTTTAAAAACGCCTCTCAATTTTTCACTCATATGGAGACACCACCTCTTGCCGGTGGAAAGTTGCCAATTTTGTCCTAAACGCACTTACGACTAATGAGCAGTGAGGGGTCTTTTTCGTGCTAGCAACTATTGTGGCACTGGACCTCGTTTAATAGGTCTCATCCGATCGAAGGACCGGTCTCCACGTCCCACAGTGGGATTCGAACCCGTGATGTAAGGATCAACATCTTACTTCTCGACTGTAGTGCAGACGCTCTAACCACTGCATCACGCTGGTATGTGTACGAATCATTCATTAACAAGCTAACGGTTTCGTCGGTTCATCCTAGCTAGGCAGATTTTAAAAAGCTGCATGCACAGATAAGAAAATGTTACATTTCATATAAAAATTCCATTTTAAATATCTTGTCAAAAGATGTAATATTTTAAATACTTATTATAACAGCTACGATAGCATAAATAAATTCTTCTGACAAAGGTATACCAAGTTTTGAATCTGATTCTGGTAATTCCTTAATAGCAAATCATAAATCTTGAGCAAAAACTTTTCATAAATTACAGTGTGTTTAGCTTACGACCATGAGCAATATTTAAAATCTTTAAAACAAAGTCAACTGAGAGACTACAAGTAAGTACATCGCTTTTTTTTCATATTTTAATAATAAAATCTCTACCAAAATGATAAATATAGCCAAAAATAAGGAAAGTTGTTTTACAGCTTCTGCTTACCGGCGGGTCTGCTACTATACCAACTGGAGTCAGTATAGAAGCAGTATTGGAAAGTTCTATCCCGAAAATGTGGATCCAAATCTATGCACTCACATCGTTTACGCTTTCGCCAAACTCAATGGAAATCGGCTGGCACCATTCGAGTGGAACGACGAAAGTACTCCATGGATGAAGGGAATGTTAGTTCATTTTTTGCTACAAGTAAATTGCCTTTCCTTTCTCAAAATAATATACAAAGCAATACTTTTGAGAATATTGTTTACTGCATATTCTGGTATTTGAAGAGTATTTGAATTTTTAAATTTTAATTGTTTTCAGCTGCATTTTCTAGTGTATACTAAAACTTTCTTTAAAAAAAAAAAAATATGCAGTCTCCGACGATGGAGTTGTTGCCAATACAGAAATTCAATTTGGCGACACATCATTAATTAATTAATTAAAGAAGAAAAAAAATAAAAAAAAGAGTTTAAGACGGTCCAATATGGAAGGGTAACAACTTTGCAGATACATGACACAGAGGATTTAACTTGCCCCTGCACTAATCTTCAAAGGTTTTTAGAAATTAGACCTACCCAAGGGGTCAATTATTTTGTCAATTTTTCCGGATCTCCTTTCACTAAGTACCATTTTACTTTGAATTTAGCCAAACCTTAAGTCTTAAACCTCGAGTCTTGGGACTACAAATCCCACTTCTTTCGTATTGGGGCAAGTATGGAATTGGGGATTTCATCTCAAATTATCCAAAGAGGGAAAATTACAGTGACAAAATTAAAGAATGTCAGGTTTAAATACTTGAAATTTATTAAGGAGATTCAATTTCCTCTTGTGCACTTAATATGGTCTCATATTCTGCTCGTATTAATTGGCATTGTTCTTTATATAATGTGGCCATGGAGAATACTAGTAAGGGGTTTAATGCATTTTACTTTAACAAAGTTTGTGAAGTTGGGGATTCTATAATCCACTATCCTGACATCAAAAAACCATGCCAATATTACTTGAAAGGGATGGGGACCTTTATCCAAGTTAAGGGAAAAAAAAAATCAGGGGATATAAAGCCAATTATTAGTCGTGGATGTAAGTTTTATCCATCACAGTAATGACTGATATCTGGAGAGGAAGGGTCACGGCTGTTTCTGGCCGCTCAGGACCCCCACTAATAAAGTGGCGGCGCCCCCATTCGTATATGCTTTGTTCAAGAATATACGACTGGGGTCTTGTGGCGAACTGAGCGGCATACATCTCTTGAACTATGATGTAATATGGGTTCATTATTGGACCGCTGCACCACACAGGGTCAAAGTTGAATACCATGTAAATTTTGTGACAGTGTAAACAAAACTATTTTATTTTCTTCCTGGACTTCTGCACCTCCCAGAGTCATGGATGTGTGAATATTATTCTTGGATTGCAAGTTTTTATTATTTGACCTTGACCTCTGTATCTCCAGGGGTCAAGGTCACCTGATATGTTGATGTACTGAAATGTTTGTTGACCTTGGCCTCTGCATCTCCCAGGGTCAAGGTCACCAGATATGTTGAGGTTGTACTGAAATGTTGTTGTTGAAATGAAATGTTGTTGAACTGAAATGTTGTTGTTGAACTGAAATGTTGTTGTTGTTGCTGGGCCTACCCGTTGCTTTGGAGGCCCGAAATAATATGTTGTTATTTTATTCAGCCGTGCCCAAAAGCGCCAAATAAATAAAAAAACCCATAAATAAAAGTTGTCTTTGTTTTATTGCGTCTGTCCAAGATAATATAGCATCTATCTCGCCCATATGCGAATAAGATGCTTTTATCTTGGCAGCGCAATATTTTTTGGCGCAGTTATCTCTCCTTGTTTCAGCACGAGTTATCTAACTTTCAATTATATAAAGACAGGTGCTCGTGCTGCAAACTCTCTCTTTGCCAGTTACACGCTAGTTGCAAGGTTGGTGTTAATCAAATTTGAGAAAACAATTGCTAAGCGTAGATTTAAGAAATCCCTCCCTACCCTAATCCCCCAATTGTACATTGTTGAATAGATACTGCTGGTTTTTGGGTTTTTTTTTTTCTCTTTTCAGTGAAAAATTTTACAAAGCAAGTGGTCATTTGTACGTACATATTCGGCATGGCTGATACTCCTGAAGATGGACTGCGAACTGAGTTTTTTTTGCAAAGCAAGTGGCCATTTATACCTACTTATTCAGCGTGGCTGTTACTCCTGAAGATGGATTGCGAACTGAGTTTTACAAAGCAAGTGGTCATAATGTACCTACATTCATATGTACCTACATATTTGGCATGGCTGTCACTTCTGAAGATGGAATGCGAACTGACATTTCTGAGTGTTACATAGTGAGTGGCCATTTATACCTACGTAATCGGCATGGCTGTTACTCCTGAAGATGGACTGCGAACTGAGCTTTACAAAGCAAGTGGTCATATGTACCTACATATTCGGAACGACTCTCACTTCTGAAGATGGACTGCGAACTGAGTTTTACATTGCAAGTGGTCATATGTACAGTGTACCTACATATTCGGAACGACTCTCACTTCTGAAGATGGACTGCAAACTGAGTTTTACATAGCAACTGGTCATATGTACAGTGTACCTACATATTCGGCACGGCTGTCACCTCTGAAGATGGACTGCGAACTGAGCGGCATACATCTCTTGAACTATGATGTAATATGGGTTCATTATTGGACCGCTGCACCACACAGGGTCAAAGTTGAATACCATGTAAATTTTGTGACAGTGTAAACAAAACTATTTTATTTTCTTCCTGGACTTCTGCACCTCCCAGAGTCATGGATGTGTGAATATTATTCTTGGATTGCAAGTTTTTATTATTTGACCTTGACCTCTGTATCTCCAGGGGTCAAGGTCACCTGATATGTTGATGTACTGAAATGTTTGTTGACCTTGGCCTCTGCATCTCCCAGGGTCAAGGTCACCAGATATGTTGAGGTTGTACTGAAATGTTGTTGTTGAAATGAAATGTTGTTGAACTGAAATGTTGTTGTTGAACTGAAATGTTGTTGTTGTTGCTGGGCCTACCCGTTGCTTTGGAGGCCCGAAATAATATGTTGTTATTTTATTCAGCCGTGCCCAAAAGCGCCAAATAAATAAAAAAACCCATAAATAAAAGTTGTCTTTGTTTTATTGCGTCTGTCCAAGATAAGGTACGTTAAAACAAGTTCCTGTAGTACAATTATCTACAGATTGTTGCTAATAATCGTTATCAGAACAAACACTTTGGCATACATGTGAAGACGTTACTCCTCTATATAACACAAAAGGTAAATTACCAATGTTTAATTATGTTCTGGCTTGCACATGTATTTCGATCTTATGAAATGAATTGATAAAAGTAATATTTATATTTTGTTCCTAGATGATCAAATTATTGGTTTTGCTGGTGGTGTTTACGGAAATCTATGGACCTGGTAGGACTGGTTCAAGACCTTGAACAAAATCATATGAATTAATAAGTACACAAGATAAGCGTGTTTGGCGTGTAATCTGCAGGAAACTTTATGTGTATTGTTTATTTGTTTGTTTGCATGTTGTTTAAAAACGCCTCTCAATTTTTCACTCATATGGAGACACCACCTCTTGCCGGTGGAAAGTTGCCAATTTTGTCCTAAACGCACTTACGACTAATGAGCAGTGAGGGGTCTTTTTCGTGCTAGCAACTATTGTGGCACTGGACCTCGTTTAATAGGTCTCATGCGATCGAAGGACCGGTCTCCACGTCCCACAGTGGGATTCGAACCCGTGATGTAAGGATCAACATCTTACTTCTCGACTGTAGTGCAGACGCTCTAACCACTGCATCACGCTGGTATGTGTACGAATCATTCATTAACAAGCTAACGGTTTCGTCGGTTCATCCTAGCTAGGCAGATTTTAAAAAGCTGCATGCACAGATAAGAAAATGTTACATTTCATATAAAAATTCCATTTTAAATATCTTGTCAAAAGATGTAATATTTTAAATACTTATTATAACAGCTACGATAGCATAAATAAATTCTTCTGACAAAGGTATACCAAGTTTTGAATCTGATTCTGGTAATTCCTTAATAGCAAATCATAAATCTTGAGCAAAAACTTTTCATAAATTACAGTGTGTTTAGCTTACGACCATGAGCAATATTTAAAATCTTTAAAACAAAGTCAACTGAGAGACTACAAGTAAGTACATCGCTTTTTTTTCATATTTTAATAATAAAATCTCTACCAAAATGATAAATATAGCCAAAAATAAGGAAAGTTGTTTTACAGCTTCTGCTTACCGGCGGGTCTGCTACTATACCAACTGGAGTCAGTATAGAAACAGTATTGGAAAGTTCTATCCCGAAAATGTGGATCCAAATCTATGCACCCACATCGTTTACGCTTTCGCCAAACTCAATGGAAATCGGCTGGCACCATTCGAGTGGAATGACGAAAGTACTCCATGGATGAAGGGAATGTTAGTTCATTTTTTGCTACAAGTAAATTGCCTTTCCTTTCTCAAAATAATATACAAAGCAATACTTTTGAGAATATTGTTTACTGCATATTCTGGTATTTGAAGAGTATTTGAATTTTTAAATTTTCAGTTGATGCATTTATAAGTGTGTTAGACGTATTTTTGCACATCTTTAGTTAAAATTAAAAATACTATAATATTAGAACCAAAATTATTTTAATTGTAATAGACATTTATGTGCCTCTGCTAGAGATTGAACCTGGGACCTCTGGCATGTCAGTCCACTGTCCAATTAAAAAAAATCTTTTATTTGTCAAGTGCTCTATCAATGGAGCTAAAGGGCTATCCCACTAGTCAAAGTTAGTAGGAAACTGTGACTCACACACTACCACATAATTTTTCATAACATAATGGAGCTTTTTCAATATTCTTTCTCTGCTCCTATGTTTGCATTTGATCTTTTAGCATTTTTAACTACTAACTTACTAAGGCAATATTTCAACAAGTTTGTTTAACGAATCAAAAATAAAATGACCACATGTGCACGTATATGAAGTTAATATTTGGTGTCATGTTTTGGAGGTCCGTGTTTGCTCTGCTCCTATTTTGTATTGTTTTATGGACTTTTGAGCTTGAATACTGTTGTCATCTCCATATACGCAGTATTTCATTGTATATTTCGAACAAAAATCAAAGAATTCGAATGAACTGAATTTTAGGTATGCACGTTTCAACAACCTGAAGCAACAAAATCCCTCCCTCAAGACTCTGTTAGCTGTGGGAGGTTGGAACATGGCATCCGCTCCATTCACTAGAATGGTGGCTTCTGACGCCAGCCGCAGAGAGTTTGCTACCAGCACCGTCCAGTTCCTGAAGAAACATGGTTTTGACGGACTTGACTTAGACTGGGAATACCCCGCGAACAGAGGAAGTCCTCCACAGGACAAAAATAACTTTGTAGAACTACTCAAGGTAGACTAACAATTTGAATAGTGGTGAAAAAATACATAAGAGTTATCCAACATGAACCAGGTAAATAGCCCTGTTTAAATCAACTTTTCTCTTTGTTTTATATAAAGCTTCTACACAATACCTTCGCAAGTGAAGGGCTTTTGTTGACTACTGCTGTTCCTGCTGGCAAATCGACTATAGATACAGGATATGACGTACCTGCCATATCCAGGTAAGAAGAGACTTTTTTGATCGTATACCAAAACGTTTTAAAAGATTAAAAAGGTGACTATTCCTCTCTAAAAAGGATTTTACAATCGAATAAGCCATCATTAATTAAATTTGATGTTCAAAGAATGCAAGCATGCAGTAAAGCATTAGGTGTTATTCAAAAGCAAAAAAAGTGAAATATAATAAAAATTAAACACTACATAAAATTCTACGTTCTACCGGTTGATACAATTGCCTTGTCGGCAAATACAGTTTTTCTTTACATAAAATGCTGATAGACGTTCTGAACTCAATAACTGAAAAGATTTATTTACATACTGAATCAACATAATTTCCTGATCGTGACAAATAGCACACGTTGGGTGTTACTTGTCGGCGGGGGTGCTCACTCCTCCATGGCATTTGATCCCATATCTGATGTTTTAGAGGTCTGTGTTGGCTAAGATCCTGGTTTGTTTTGCATGAATTGCTTTTTTGCTCTCCCCATATACTTCATCTTAAGGAAGTGCCAGTAGTAGACACTTAAAACAATAAAGTAAGAAAATCAGTTAACATTGACGAATTTTCAGCTTCTATTTCTACACTATTTCTGTTTTGATCTCCAAATGAATGATGTACAAAAGATTACTTTACTAATTATAGACATGAAAATGAACGTTATCATGAGCTCTCTGTTTTTATCATTAATATTACTAGTATATTAGGTATGTTGTCTCTGTTTTTATCATTAATATTATATTAGGTATGTTGTCGCTGTTTTTATCATTAATATTACATTAGGTATGTTGACCAGATCAACTTGATGGCGTACGATCTTCATGGAGGTAGCTTCGATAGCAAAACTGGACACAACAGTCCGTTAAAGGGTCATCCAGCAGAAACTGGAAATGACGTATACTTCAATGTGGTAATATTAGAATAAAAAATAAATAACAGTTTACGTTGATATGATTTTCAACTCTACATCCCCTCATTCATTTATTCACATTGTCTTTTAAGTTTTAACATAGCAGATATGAAAGCAAATTACTTTTTTAAACCAATACCGATTTTTTTTCTTAAAATGACAATTTTTGCTCTTATCCAAGGAAGAGAAAAGTTTCTTTCTAAGAGGGTGCATCGAGGAGGAGTACAATGTGAATTCATTTTGTCATTTCATGAATTAAAAAGTTTTGCACCCCACCAACTGGCATCCACACCCGATATTGCCATATTCAATATCTATAGGATTAAGCTGGCTGATGGGTAGCAAAATAATTTGCGTGACTGCTTTGGGGGGGATCTTCCATCATATGCTTAACAAAACCTTTTTACAGGTATTTTGATATCCTCAAAAATGTGCAAATCTTATTCAGTCAATGTCTTTATGAAAAGATGTAAAAAAAAAAAAAAAAAAAAAAGAAGAAGCATATGGATAGTTTTAATAAGATTACGTCAATATTTTACCCTTAAAATCTCTAGGATTCCCTATACCTCATGTCTCTCAAAATATTTTAGATCCCTACCCCAAACTAATATTCCTGCATTTGTTCTTGAATTTAACGTTGATAAATGTTGAAAAAATAATGCTATAGAAAACTTACAGAAAATGCATCACCATTATGATGAATATAATTATAAGTAAATATATAAAAGGAACTCCATGAAACCATCTCGTTATTCAAGCAATATTACTTCAGTTTAGGTATATTGCTGCTTTGTATTCTTTGTCTTTCTTTAGGAATTTGTATTAAACTATTGGATTCAAAAGGGGGCACCAGCTTCAAAAATAAACCTTGGAATGCCTTTATACGGCCGCTCTTTCACACTTGCCAGCACAAGCAACACGGGACTCTTTGCCCCAGACAGAGGAGCAGGAGGCAACGCGGGCACGTTTACCAGAGAGGCGGGATTTTTAGCATATTATGAGGTAGGAACATTAACATGCTGATAATACCAATCTTACAGATAGATAGCTAAGATATAGACACATGTAGATATAAACATATAACGGTGTAATTAGTTGCACTATAGGTACGCTACAATTTCCTTTAGATATGCGATTTACTGAAATCGGGTGGTGTTCGGCATTGGATTCCAGAAATGGAGGTTCCATATGTAGTAAGAGGAGACCAGTGGGTAGGGTACGACGACGAACAAAGTCTTCGCCTCAAGGTAAATTTCTGCTTTCATGCCTTAAGGTAATTTCTGTCTTCATGCCTTAAGGTAAATTTCTATCTTCATTCCTCATTAACATTAAAAATAATAGCCGTACGACTAGAACACACTTGGTTAAAACAAAAACCAGGAATCAAGAAGCAATTACATTTATTTTCAAGAACGCCGATAGTCTTTGCCGATGTAAAACTCAACGTCGGTTAAACATCTGCCTGCAGATTGTTTTCATAGTCGGCCGATGATAAACGAGTCGGGCAATAATCCGAAGTCTGTTACAAAATTGTCTCCCGACTGACCATCTGGCAATTGCTAAAGATTGGTTTCACTCAGAGGAGATCCAAGAAAGAAAGGAAACAATGTAGATAGGAATAAAAAACATCCCTGTAGGACACTTTAAAACGAAAGAATCGGACAACATCTTAAGGACTTCACTCCACCACTAAAAATATTTCAGAAAGAGTGCTGTTCCTGAATTTCCCAGCCTTATGAAGCACTTTTATTCAAAAAATTTTAAGAAGAAGCTCTTGTTTTTAACGCGATATTTGTATGAATCACGTTTTTTTTTCAATTGACCATAGTGACCTTACCCAACCTCTATTCCTTCAAGGGCTCTGTTGCTATATTCACGTTTTGATATTTCGAAATGTGATTTATTCCGCGGATATCATTACATGTATCTTTAACCTTTTCATCAAAGTTTTGTAGTTTAACATCCTTCTCGAGAATTTTTCACTCATATGAATTTATAAAAGTTAGAAATCTTTGTACTTTGGGTTTACCAAATCGAAATCGAAAGTCAAATGGTTAAATTTTGTTTGTCGATTTCCAAGTTACTGGTTGATATTTTCTTTGTAGGTAGATTTCGCTAAAAGTAAAGGTGTAGGTGGAATAATGGTGTGGGCTCTAGATCTAGACGACTTTACCGGCAAAGAATGCGGGAAAGGAAGATATCCTCTACTTCATGCCATCAATGTTGAACTCAATGCAGCCCAACCTCAGACGTAAATAATTATTTCATTTGATCTTTTATTTCTACGATACTTTAAGAGTTTATCAAGTTTCTGTAGCTTTACTACATTGTTTTAAAAAAGAACAACCCAGAGTCCCTTGACGACAACAATAACCCATAGGACGACAAGACACCATCAACAAACAACTCACATCAATATATTTAATCCAGTAACAAGTAAGTCATTCCTAAATTTATCTTCTGAACGTTTATGAAATGAAAATGCAAATGACTTGTTATTACTCAACTTCTGGTATTATAAATCATTATGATTCTTGATAGCAATGATAAAATTTAAAGCAATTTAGTAACTTGGAATTATGCTTTATCTGCAATGGTGCTTCATGTCAGTCCCCAACAGCTACATACTGCCAATGTATCCAATACCAAAACGTTCGATTTTTTTTTCTAGAATCTAACTTATATGTCCTAAAATATTCGCAACAGACGTTTTTACTTAATAAGTAGAAAAAAAACTTCATGTATGTCCATGGTAAGATTTGCTTCAAGCAAAAATGACTACTGAAGTGTGACTCTCCGCCAAAATCAAAACAGATTTTTCGAGGACAAAGGCATTACGCGATCTATTATTATTTTTGATTTATTTTATTAACATTTTAAAGCTCATACTCAACGCCCTATTCACACAAGCCAGTCATTCAGCTGTAATACGAGAGCTAGTGGGTTTTATGCGGACCCTGCCTCTTGCACGCACTACTATATCTGTGTCGGAGGCAGAAGTTTTGGTGTAGACTGTGCAAATGGACTTCACTTTAATGATGCAACCAAGTATTGTGATTGGCCAAGAAATGCTAACTGTCAAATACAACAATCTGTTTTGACAACTGCAAGATCGACCCACGCTCCGATCACAACAAAGCAACAGTGGCAGACGACAACGCCTTTCTATCACGTCATCACAGCTCGACCGACACAGGCAACAACTATACCAAACTTAGGTACCGTCTTCATTCATTATTTCTATAAAGAACATTTATAATTGTCCTTATCTATGGGAGGCCAATTTGGCTAAAACAAAAAAAAAGAATATACATTAATTATTTTTTCTACTGAATGTAAGCATTTTATGGTCAAAGAACTTTATTCGGTAAAAACCAATATTTGCCCCCCAAATCAAACTTTGATGGAGATATATCTAATTAAGTTCTTAAACAGGGGAGTATATGCCGACTTCAAAGCACTGAATATTTTCATAAGTAATCACGTCACAAACATGACGTAAATTTCAGTTTTTTATGAATTTTACAGAAAAATGTACAAATTTCGTCGATATTTTGAGTAAAAGTCACCGAGCGCATGTGTGTTCAGGATCAATATTTTAATATAATGTGTAGAATGATAATATCAATGAAATATGTCAATATTGTTCCTGAACAAACTTGCGCTCTATAAATTTTAAAGCTAAAATTGTTGAAATTTTGTCAATTTTTTCCTCTTTCTGAGAAAGGGTATAAAATCGGACTAGTTTGTGACGTCATAAAAACAAAAATTGTGAATACATTGCTTTGACACTAAAATATTTTCTGTTAAGTCAGATTTCTCATACAATTTATTGAATTCAGCACATTTCAGGAAGTTTTCAAAATTTGACTTTTGTGGGGGCAAATATATGCAATATACCGCATATAGTTCTTTTTATTTTAAAAATTTTGAATGAAGTTTCCATATGTGCGTAGAAAAATCAGTTACATTTTGAATGACAACCTTCTGGACTTAAAAACAATAAGTGTTTTACACTGTGAAGCATCAAAACAGTTCTAGAACCCTTATCAAACATGTTGAGAATAAATGCTCTAAATCAAGTACAATGGTACTCGAACGCTTTTTGATTAATTATACAGGTGCAAATGCAAATGCTTTTTGCCAACACAAAGCGGATGGACTATACCGTGACCCGACAAACTGCGGAATGTATTATCAGTGCGATATGAATTTCGGATTCCACGAGCCTTGTCCTCCGGGCCTAGTTTTTAACGAAGCTCTCGCTGAATGTGACTACTCCTACAATGTTCCCCAGTGTCCTTGAATTTCTTTTTTGTTCATTTTCATTTTTAAAATAAAAGAGTGTAATTGTAAACTTTTTCAATTTTTGTCGTAAGATTTTACCAAAGGAGGTATTGCATGTAAACCAAATTGGACAACAAAGCATTAGTTACTTAAAATAAGTGAAAAACCCCAAGGGTCATGATAACAACAGATTATATAATTAACACATTTCATTTATGCTTCCATATGAATATGACTGATCATGCTTTTGTTGTTCTTGAGAATAAGATTTTAAAAAATTGTTCTTATATAAAAATGTAAAACTTTTTTGGCCATTATAGCGCCACCTATTCAAGGGGTCATAATTTGAACATACTTGAATCTAATCTATTTTAGGATGCTTCCATCTAATTATGCTATAGATATGATTAATTTATTTATGAGAAGGTTTGAAAGGTTTTCCTATTTATACTTTGATCGCCCATAGTCATCTCATTCTACTCCTATATCTCATTATTTAAACAAAATTAAATCTAAATATGTCAGGAACACTTCACCTAAGATTTGGCTTTTCTGGCTCAGGGGATCTTGAGTTTTTTAAATGACCTCCAAACCTTTATGTTTTCTTATTTATCTTCCTTTAGATGATGGTATGATCCATTATTTGAACAAACTTAAAGTCCCCTTTACCCTTTTACCCAAGGATACAAGTTTGGTTGAAATTTGCTCTGGTTTAGGGGAATAGATATTTTAAAAAATTACGACGACAGACAACAACTGAGTTGAGTTGAAAATAAATTTAAAAAAAAAATTCTGGTAACTGGGAACATGGAATTATGTGTTAAAATGCCAATTTTAATAGCTGGATTTATTTTTTCAACAACATATAGGCCTATCAAAACACATGATGTTTGCTGCAAAGCTACAACGACAGACGAAGAACAACACGCAGATCATTTTATTACGTCTTCATAGATATTTTATTAAAACACTGACTAACCACTTTACCTTTAAAAAAATGATTATTTCTTAAGAAGATTTTTTTTACTCTCGAGAAGATGATGGTTCATGTAAGTAGTCTATCTTCTGAGCAACTGCATGGCAATTAAGTCCAGGAAGATTTTTCAAAGGGAAAGACAATAACTTTAAGCAAAATACAATTTAAAAATTACAGGAACGGTCTGTTTCAGATCTATATCTCTTTGTTAGGAATGTAACACGTTTCGTTTTAAGACCCAAGGATCAAGGAACAAAGTTAATTCTATTGATACGTATTAGAACTGTATGCACGGAAATTTCATCCCTTTCATCCTTTTCAACTTCAAACTTCAAATTTCAAACGCGGCAAATTTAAAAAAAAACACAGCATAATCTCTTAAACATAACTATTATTGGCCGAATTTAAAACGGAATAAAATTGTTCGCAAGTGCATATGGGCAAAAATAACATAGGACGAAAATATCCCTATTTATTGAACCTTTTTATCAATTAAATACATGGAAATAACGAACCGTATTTAAGATCAAAACTCCATTTTATAATACAAATTTTGAAGCAGAACACACTCGGACCTCTAATACATCAGAAGTGGGATCAGGTCCCATTGAGGAGTGAGCATCCACTGCCGACCGCCCACACCTGCCGTGTGCTCTTTGTGTCATGATCGGGAAAATACAGGGAAAAATCAACGACAATTCAGTGAGTAAATAATGGTCTAACAATTTGTATGATAAACGTCCGTCAGCATATGACTTAATGATAGATTTATTTACTGACAAGGTCATCGTATCAACCATATTTAATAAAGATCTAATTGAATGAATTAATCATTGACATTTTTTTCAATTTTGATGAAATAAAAAAAATTATAAACACACTGAAATACTGTTATAATATTCAGGTAATTTAACAGCAATTTAACTTAAGCAGCAGATCTCTTTTCTGATGTAACTCACGATTCACAATTCCACTTTAAAGACTTTCATGCCTTTGGTAAGGAGTGCAACACATTTGTCCCTATTACTTATTAAAATTCAAAATAAAAGTTTACTTTTTACGGAACAAACACTTCAAGCTAGACCGCTTGGTCTAGATATCAATGCAAGTAAAAAGAAAAACTTTACATTTTCAGTATACTCATGAATACATCTAGTTTTCGTCGCTAAACTTACATATTACATCATTAAAAATATATTTTTGAGAAGGAACAATTACAAAAATATGTCATAAAAGATTTTTAAAAAAAACGTCGAAACGGCGAACTGTTTTACATACTTTGAATGTGTAATAATGTTTTCAACTTCTGTATCGCTAAAAAAATATATGGAGATAGCAAACAGTATTCAAGCTAAGTAGGCCATAAAACAATACAAAATAGGAGCAGAGCAAACACGATCCTCCAAAACATCAGAGTTGGGATCAAGTGCCATGGAGAATTGAGTATCCCCTGCTGACCGGTCACACCCACCGTGTGTTCCTTGTCATGATCGGGAAATAACGGGAAAAATCCGTCGTCAATTCAGTGTATAAATAATGGACTAACAATAAGTATGAAAAACTCCAGTAAGCAATCGACTCAATGACAAATTGTATTTGCTGACAAGGTCATTGTATCGACTATAGTACTTACGAAATGATAACTTTATACGAGACTGTTGATATTCTTGTTTCATTAACCTGTTTGTCAGTAATTTACCTCATTTTAGAAATTATACATACGTAGAGCATGCTTTTGCGTATCGAGTCAACTGAGATATATAAACTCTGTATGCAGATGATGAAGGTAAATTGCTGCATAAGTAAGGGAAATTGACGATAGAAAAGTTAAAGTCATTACGTTTATCAAAGAGCTTGGTTGTTAGATTACCATTAACGTTTTTTTAAGTAAAATATCCATATATGAAACAGATGTGTCAGACTCTGTGGTATCATTTATCTCAAGCTCACCGGGATATATATTGTGTCGACATTGTTAATTGACAATACGTCGTCGATGTATCTATATGTCAAGTTGAAGGCTACATCTAGTGTTTTCGTCTTTTTCACGTACATGATCTATATCCTGTCTTCTTAAAAGTGTATCTCTTTTGAAAATTTATTACTATTCTATGTCCCTTTAAAAAAACATGTTGCAAGTTTAATTGTAAACACAAAGACATTATCAGCAGATATTAGCTTTCATTAAGTAAAATGCTCTTTGACATTTTTCATACATACTGATGACTCATTTTCACACTGAATTGTCTAAGAATTGTTCCGTTGTCCCGATCTTGACAAGGATTACAAGGCGAATGAGAACGGTTGGCAGGTGATGCTTACTGCTCCCTGGGGTCTTATCCCCCTCTAATGTTTTAGAGGTCCGTGCTGGCTTTGTTCCCAATCTGTACGAGTATTGCTTCAATGGACCTTCGTACTTGATTAATGTTTGTAATCTCTGTACTTGTTGAACTTGTTAAACCTAAATCTAAAGAGCAAAAACTTAGAAATGCATTCTTAACCCGAAAAAATGTTTTAGAGGATCAGATTGTAAACCCTTTGTTAAATGATAAACGAATCCCTTCAAAAATTTCAGTATACTTCTTTATTATTATTTCCTTAATGTTGAACATTGATCTTTTGGAGATCTTAATAAATTGATAAATCTAAATATTTTCCGCATAATGAAGTTTACTCCAGATAATAAAAGTCTGGTCATTGCCGATCTTGAAAATACATTGAAATAAATTTAGAAGAACGAATTTATAAGTTTTATCTGTTTTAAATGTATTTTAAATGCGGCGTGCAATCGCCTTCAACTGCAACGCACTGGAAACATTAAAGGTGTATTTTACACAAGAGTCGATAAAATTATATTTTAAATCAATCAGGTAAATTACAAATACTTTCATATATAAATTCAAACGCTTCACAGTATTCAGGACAAGTTCATGGTAGTTTAGCTTTCTTAATGTTGGCAGTCAAAATATACTGCATTGAAGGGCTCTGTTTGCAAACGAGGTCATAGTAAATATTAAACAATTGGTTAAAAACCAAACCCTATAACATGAACTTATTTGTCAGAAGTTTCAATCAAATGTTGCTCCTTGTCAGAAAAGCTCTTGTTACCGAATGAGTTGGGAAACCTGAACATTATATGAAGTTGATAGTGGAAAATGTAACTATTTTAAAAACGGGGGAAGTAGAGCGCGGAAAAGTTGAAGTCGTTCAGTTTGTCAAATAGTTTAATTGTCAGTTGGCCTTCAACAATACATCCAAAAATGAATTAGATGTGATGGATACAATGATATATCGAGTCGACATGAGAATGAAAAAAAAAAGTTAAAGCTATATATGGCGTATCTTAGCTTAAAAAAATAAATATAAAAAATTTAGTGTAGATTAACATACTTGTAATTTACATTCAAATTAAAATTTTCACCGATGTTGAACTTGCATATGCCCCTGATACTTTATTCTGAGTTGGAAATAAATCAGTTATTGTTTAAATCTCGGATATTTATGAACGCGATTAATTTAATCTGTGCAATTTAAAGAAAAAGTCATATCTTTATATAAAGTAACAAACAAAGAGAGAACTTTTTAATTTTAGTTAGTATGAAGTTATCAAAAATACGCCCTATATCATATGAATTAAGTTTGTGAATAAATAATGCTTATTCATAAGATAATAAAAACAGGTATTTTGACAAGGGGCACAACTCAAACATATTTTTGAAAGAGGAAGTCTAACATCCTCTAAATATCAAGTTCAAATCACTTTCGTGTAGAATAAGAAAGTCTGTAACAAAGTAATGTTTTAGTTACTAATCACAAGATATAAAATTAAAAAAAAATCCGAATTTCCTTTTGTTAATAATTAAGCTGTTGTCAATAAAGACAACCAAAAAAAAGCCATCAGTCTATTGTACTAGAAAATACTTGTTATTTCACAATATGCCTTTTGCAAACAATATTGCATCCTCTCAAAAAGTGTTCTAAATAAGTTTGAAATAAATGAGTTAATATGTCAAATTTTCGTCAGAATAAGTTATT